GATGATATAGAAAACATCCACAGTTTGATCAACAACGTTTTCAATGACATCAAATTCACAATGGAGAAAGAGTCAAACAACCAACTACCATTCCTGGATGTTTTAGTCAGTAGAACAAATGCTGGAAAATTGGAAACCCAAGTGGACAGAAAGCTAACACACACTGACCAAATCCTCAACTACAATAACAACAACCCAACAACACACAAAATCGACTGCTTGCAGACTCTATTCAAAAGGGTGAGAACACACTGCAGCACAACAACTTCACTGAGAAACGAAGAAAATTACTTGATGTCCACCCTAAAGAAGAACGGCTAACCACGAAACTTTGTCACAAGATGCCTATCCCGTACAACATCAACTACAAAGTCATCGACAGCAATCAACAAACGCATCATCCTACCATACATAAAGAATATATCAGAAATCATGACAAGATTACTGAGACCTCTTGGTGGAATTGGTGTGGCTCATAAACCAACAAATTCCCTCGAAACATTATTATGCAGACCGAATGATGCAACAAGCAAAGAAGACAAACCGAATATCATTCACAAAATCAACTGCAATAACTGTAGTCAACACTACATTGGACAAAGCAGCCGCCCTCTTCGCCCTCGTCTACATGAGCACCAATCGGCTATTAAACGACAACATTTCGTCACTCATTTCAATGCACCCGGATAATTATGGACATGAATTCAATTTGGACAATGTAGAAATTTTCAAGGGAGAGAGGAAACACAAAGAATGTCATCAGAGAATTCCTAAAAGCTTGACACTCAGGTCAGTCAGTCAGCAATCAACACATGTGTAGACATAGACCCAATCTATCAACCAATAAGAAGAATGATAAGCGACAGAAAGGTGAGAGATGAAGCAGAGGAACAACCAACAGGAAAGTCTATACAATCGAATACACATCAATCGAAGGAAACAACCAATCACAGACCACGTCGTCAAAGCAAGCCACTAAATCAGTCAGGGAGAGATATTGACAGGTCACTTCATATTGAAGGAGTTAGTGCTGATGATGTCGTCCAGAAAGACGATGAAGGGCTTCACGATTAAACAACCCAGCCATCTCAGAGAACACAATACACAACCAAGACCATCCACATGAGCTACAAATATTCTCCATTATTTCAGTTTCTCTTCTCGCGAAAACAATTAACAGTTTGTTATGAGAACTGTTTTGTGATAGTCGTTGAATAATAAATCTTCAGCTGTAACCAACAAATTAAATTCTGATAAACACTTGCGAATCTTCTCTGATTCCTAGATTGATAACATGATGTCGATGCATATGAATTTATCTAAAAATTATTTTTCTTTGATAACACGAATCTATCTCAATTTATCAAATAACATAACATGCAGTGGAGAAAGTGTTTCTCTCATTGAATTGTTTCCAGAATCACTTCACTCATGTCTGTAGCTACAACGAGAAAATACTTCGACATTGACTGGAAAGTGAACACAGGATCAGCAAACATTTTATCTTGGATTAGCAGCTAGTGACTTTAGCGTCAACGTGAGTTTCATGTTAGAATGAACTGAATGGTAAAGTGTTTCCAGAAATTCAAGGTTGTGGTGAGGACTGAGAACATATTTATAGAATGAAGCAAATTTATTACTCCGTTAACCTCGAGATTTCATTTCGTTACTCATTTCTTCAAGAGGTCAAACAACAAACCAGAATCTTCATGAGTGATACTACATGCCTAATGTAATCCAATTATTCAAAGCAGAAAGGTACATATAATTCACAATATGGAATCTTAGTTAATAACACTCATCAGCTCACGTTATCATATATGGTCAAGTTGTTTGATCTGTGATGGCATGCTGGTCGTTACATGAATGCCGTGACACTTCCTGGATATTCAGTATGTAACAGTTTACTGAGTGGCTAGCGGCGGAATCTAGGAAGCGTGTTTCAGCCATTGTGTGAAACCGATCGGTCTTTGAAGCTATGATCACTTAGTTCAGTTCTCAGTGAGAAAACTATAGCATAAATCATTAGGCTGCAGATACATCCAGCTGACAAGTAGGATGTAACGCGGACACTGCATGCCACATCAAGGCACCAAGTAAACTGTTAAATTAAATTTTCAGTATACTATATGAACGGAAGACCTCCACAAACAGAAAAGAAATGTAAAGTAATGCACTGAAAAATTGATTGGACTGTACTAATTCACAGAGATTTTCGTTCAATGGTGAGCTAACAGTGAGTTCTGAGACAAAAGTTGGTTATTTTCCGACAGACTTTTGTAATCACGGTCACAATATGAAGTGCCTCGACTAACTGACAGAGTTGCCAAGAGATGGACAAGTTGGTGTAACTAATCATTTGATCCCAAAAAACCCAGTCTACATCCTTCCAAATATAGTAATTATACTACTCTGTTTGATTACTGAAGGAATATCTGTCGACATGACGAAGTTTGTAAGCTGACAAGATTCTCCGGGCAATTCTGCCTAAAATGGATACATTCGGAAACATACCCAGGAGGGCTGAAGGAAGCATCCATGATCCGCAGTCGAAGAGAAAAAAATTGCTTTGTCTGTAGATTTCAAAAGAGATGATATCCCACGGAATATGAGATCATAAATAATAATTAAATATAGGAAGTTCGTAGACAGCACCAACGTACTGAAATGTATGCGAGCTAAACATGAAGATGTAAGGGTGTAAATTCCAACTGTTAGGCGTAGTTTACATTTCGACTGAACATTATCATCACGCTTGATGACGAATAACGAAAAACATGAAAGAGGCATTCATCTTCAATTTCCGTACAATAATGTGGGTGTGTTACAGTTCCCTTTCTATTGTATACTTCTCTCAACTTCAAGATGTCTTCAGGTGATAATACATTACGCCAATGAATTTCTGTTTTCCAACCGACTTCAATAACACTTTCCTTCATCTCACCATTTTCTACATGAATTATTCCACGAATGGTCATCAGATTCACATTCCCTGATGCAGATGACGATTGCATGTGGCCGACGATTTTCAATATCAGTAAAATACATGGTGTACGATACATTGATGACTCAGGCGGCTACCCTGAAATCCGAGTATATTCACTTCAATCTACTCAGAAATGAGAGATGCGCGTCTGTCACCTGTATTTTGCCTAGCTTTGGATACCGTTTTATCGACTGAAAACTGGTGAACCACTAAAAGCATCGTGTGAATTGACAAACCACTTCCTGACATGGTCGTGTCACATGAAATGAGATATTATCCTGCTTGCCAGAGAGAATCATATGAATGAATTACTTCCTCGATGGAAACAGGATTCCTGAGTGTGATTTCGATGTTATGATCTCAAGAAATGAGTGAAACCAACAACAGGCATCTGAGCTGGAAACATCAGAGTGTCTGCATTGACATAGATTGCTCAAGATTGTTCGATATATGAGTAGAGAAACGTAACAACATTTTCAGTAGGCAGTGTAGCGCAGAAATTAAAGTGGGCAATGGAATTTGACTAAATTTCACACGATGTAGAAACACTGCGATCAACAGACGTGCTAAACATTTCGTTCTCTACATGAATGCAAATGAAGCTTCAGGAATATGAATTGTGATGAGTAAACTTTACAAGTAATCATGTGGGAAAACGAGGTGTTAAATCTGCATAATTCCATTTCAGATAGGACCTATAGTCAAAGGTAGCATCTCTTGCCATAGTTTCATTGACGTTGTATAGTTTTCTAAGTATCATACCCACAAGGTATCAAATATTGATAAGCAAAGTACATTGGACACAGAGTAGAATATGTATTGGTTATTAATGAAAGTCCCTACTTCTTCTAACACGTCATTCGTTTCTGTTTCAAGTACACTCTTCTTCATTTTCACTGTGAATGCATAAAATTTGTTGGTTCAGATTATTTAGAAAGTGTTTTGTTGTCAATCAGGCAATACGAAACCCCTTCTTACTTACTCCACTGTTTCATTTATGTTCACTACACTGATTAAGATGAAGGGCGATATAGCTTTGCAGATTTTTGAAAACATTTTCCCCCTTTTCATCTACTCGATGTATGATGTTTCATTTCCAATGAAGATGACATGTATAAGTGGGTAAATGTGAAGTTGTTTTAGTATTGTTTGGTGTACGACTAGTTTCTTGATTGATGTTATTCACTAAATGATGAGTAGCTGTATGCTGAAGTGAGAAATGAAGTCTTTCGGTTTCAAGTCATTGTCTGATTCATTGGTTGTTCACTGGAGGATAACTAACATCATGTTGTCTAGTTTGAAGTGTTGATTGAATTCGAATGTTACAGGAGATCGATTGCAGTCTGAATAGCTCTGTGATGACGTCTCCGATATCCACACTGGATGACGTGGTTTCGAATATCGGACTGGAAAGCAGTTCAATCGAGGCTATTGATATGCCTTGCTGACGGGTGCCAGAAAGCACGGAATCAAGGTGTACGACGTCTTGTCGACCTCCTCATTCCAACTAACCTCCATCTCGTATTTCATGTTCATTTAAATATCAGTCGAATTAGTTCTGCATCACTCACCAATTGACTTACCTGTCTTTTTATCCTGACCTTCTCTCTATTCATTCACTTATATTTGTTCATGAATTTTTCTAGTCTTAACATAACTTTCCTTCTCAATCACATGGATAACTAAAGCTCATGAAGTAATACAAATCGATAAGGAAACGTCACTGTCTTGCCGAAAATAGAAAGAATTCCAAATCCTAAATCTGTATAGTTTCACTTCATTTGACGTATCAATGTGTATTTTATTTGAATTACTCACAGCAAATTTCCTTATGATTGATCTAATGTTTACACATATTTTCATCCTGTAGGCACTTCGAAAACAACAATATGTGGTATATGTGCAACAGCAAATGAATATGAATGGCTCACATGATTCATCACAGGAGTGTTCGTATATAAAATGGAGAGTTTCACAAACCGCGCAAACACTTTTCTGATATTAGTGTTGAAGAATGCTGTCTCAGCATAATATGCTCGTTGTACTGATTGCTTTGATAACTATGTCCAACATTATTCAGTGGGGAGTCTGTAAGTTTCATTTGGCCATTTTCTGTGTCTTCACTGTCTGATTTTTGCAAACTCCTAGTTATAATGATTATCTGACTTTAAATTACAAGATGGGAATATAATAAGGCAGTTAGAGTGAAGACTGCCATGTTGCTGTCAATAGCACCTGATACACTTTCACGAAAGTCTTCAGACAGTCATAATTGTTTTTCTGTAAAAATCTGAGGTTTGAAGTTATTTATGTTGAAATCTTTTCGATTTAGTCTCATGATTCTTGTAGTAAAGCCTTAGCATTATAACTTCACTGTAGAATGATTGATCAATGCTCACGTTGGAGGTGTATGATGAAATTCGACAGTATATTATCCTTCTTCTGCAACTATTTCTCAACTTTGCGATGGCAAAGACATACGTGATGATATCGAAAACAGAATGGGACCTTGCTTTCAGCTGATATATTTTATCAAGTCTTGAGGAAATATCACTTGATATAACAATTAATGATCACTCAGCTCAATATTCATGGAAACAGGTAAAGTGAGGATACATGAAATCGATAAGAAATCCCACCAACAGCTGACAGCAATCGTCACTAGGAAATGCTGTTCACTAACCGTCCATTTTGTTTGTTTCCCAAATTTTTGCCTAATATCTTGTCACCAAGTCAATTCGAAAGTTGTTTTCCATTTTCCAGGTGGTTCAGTGTAAACTCAGACCAACACATCACCTTGTCCTACATTAACCAGGGGTTTCCGAATATTTTAATGTTATATAAAGTTACCCTCGAGGACATGTGTTTAGTTGGGAAATTCAGTGCATTGAAATCTTTCATTTCGAAAATAACATCTTGTTTCCATAACCTCTCTTCACATTTCAATTCCACATATCGTACTTGAAGCAAACAAAGTTTACATGATACTCACAAATTACTCATGTCATAACTTGCCTTCATTTAGCAACAGCTCAAGGTAACTCACGTAAGAATTCCTCCTCGCTTAAACTTCCTTACCATATTCCATGAATATGTTCGTGTATTTCAAGCTTTTCTTAACTTATATTTAAGCACATCAGATGACTCAAGGAAGAGACATGAAATTGTCTGAATTAAGTGACGGTGCAACTAGCATGAGTATTTCATCACATCGTGTATTTCGATCACTACGTGGGCAAATACAAGTTGATTAGTGATTGAAATGCTGTGTAATATCCACTGCAATCACACGTAGATGCATTGTGTGATTACTAGTTATCTACACGTATATCTCCAATGGTTGTCAAATGACATTTCACATTGTTCAGGAGAATGTTGTGACATGTGAATAGTTCTGTTGAAGCCTTCTTAATTCACAACTATTTCATTATATATTACAACAAATAATATGAACACGACTGTGCATTTCACATCTGTCATCTCGAGTGGAGGATTAAAATGTGCTAGCTCATTATGTGATGTCTTAGAGGATATATGAAACTGTCATTGTTGCTTCGGAAATGAAGAAAGTATACGATGAACCAAAGGATTTAGGCTGCCATATACAGTCATTCCATGCACATAATTTTCTTATTTTCTCAAAGTTACTAGCTAACTTGAGTGTGTAATGCGGCCACATGATAGGAGGGCACGGAATTTCATCGATGTCTGTACGTTCGTTCAAATTGCAGGTTTCCAAGCAACCTTAATTTACTCCGATAAGACTGACTGCGATCAACAGGCTAATACCAGAATTTTATCATCACAACCACACCACTGATCATGTGGACGTGTGACTGTTTCCAATATGATATCGGAAACTTGACATTGAACTATACGATAAAAGACTTTTTCATGGAATACTGAATCAGTCAGTGATTTGATAGATTGATTGAATTCGGACATTGACCAGATGATCATAACTGCTTTGGTATTTCTAGTCTCCAATGAATGAATAACAACCTAGTTTTGCTTTTCATTCATCTGCATGACAGATTACAGAGTGATAATAACCTTTAAATTATCGAGTCAAAGAGCATGATAGTTACACATTTGTGCATGGAAGAATCTTCCATCCTCTCTTTTAACTCATTTTAATATACCATATACATATTGAAATTATTACATTACTGAAATATAGCAGAAAATGGAAACAGTACGTCTCCACAGTGAGTTAATTCTTACATGTTTTCAAAAACTGTTCATGTTATGACGATGATTATCTCATGTTGTATCATCTACTGACTTGTGATTTCAGAGAAATATAGCACCTCATTGCGTGGGTGTCACGTCTTCTTATCCTACACTGAAGTAGTTACTTAACTATCTCAACATCGTGTTTAGACATTCTAATATTCAACCAGCACTGAGACCCAATAAACCATTTGTGTACAGGTTACTCAGTACTTCAATATATGCCGAGTCAACTGTATCGTAACAGATTGGTCCATGCAATCCCATGTGGAGTGGTAGAGTGTAATTCCATATTAGATTCGTTCATTTGATTTATGACACACAGTGAGTGATATAGTATTATTTACTTGACGACACCATGTTCCGAGCATCACTGCTCATCATTGCTCATAATCATATCAATAGAAATCTATGCTCGAAATGGTGTCGTCAAGTAAATAATACTACATCAAAGTGTGTAAAAAATCAAACAGACAGATGTGATATGGAATTAAATTCTACAACAGTGTACAAGTTTCACACTTATGTTGTTGAGTAGTTTTAGTTGAGACAGTAGCCACCAGCATTACAACTAATGAGGAGGCTTAGGCCTCTGTTGTTTCAGCGTATAAAGAAACTAGATCTGTAAATTTGCCCAACATTCCTAATTAGACTCAGACTGCAGTGTTACTTAACTTTCACAAATTTGGCAACAGATAAACTTTGCCGTCTTAAGAATTATATTGTATTTATTATGCTGAAGTAGTATATATATATATATGTATTATATATATAATATATATAGTAATTATAATGTATATATATATATGTATATAGATACTATGTACTATTTTATATTAAGATCTAGAGGGAGGATGATAACGGAACTGCTGTTATCGAATCAGCACTAAAGATATGCAATTGGAATGACTGAACACCAATCCTGAATATATGGATACAATCACAGAAGGGAATTTAATCGAGTTATGCAACATCAAAGTGGTTTGACCACACTGTTATGACTGCATGTAGTGAGTATTGGAGTATTCTCATATGTTAAACAAGGTTTGTGTATATTAATTTGTGATCAGATGTTCAACAATGCATCGCTTACAGTCCGTTATATATTCGATGTGAAAAGTGACTGTGAAATAATTTGATGAAGAGTCACTTTGGAGGAATGTGTTTTATTCAGATCAACACCATTTGAGTGTAACACCCAGGATGGATAAAATGTCATCATCATCATCATCATCAGCTGATGTCTGTGTTGATGTAACAACTTAATATTCCCTAACTTGTTTATATCATTCAATTTTGTAGGCAGAAATCCAGGTAAGATTTGTGATATTTAGTGATGCTCATTGTCAGTTGTTCAGCCTGATGTCTGTGATAAAGCCGTTTGTGTTTCGAGTGTGATATACAGATATAGAAGACGTTTGATTGATCATGTGTGCACAGACTTGATTCCATGGAATCCATTCTATGTTAATTCTTATTTTCCAACAATAAACTGAATGTAACAATCACTAAGTGAAATATAAACAACCAGTAGTGTTCAAATAAGCTTCAGTGATATGAGGGTGTTATTAGCTGTGATTGAAAGTTTGTAACAACCTGATAATCATGTCACCAATGATTTTTATTGGCAATGAGAATGAGAAAGTAATGTGAATTATACTGTTGGTTGGACACTGTATGTGAACATTCACTTTATTCATCTCAACTCATGGTAGGTCTCATCTGCATAATGCCATGCATATTCACCTCACTTATATTCCAACTAAAGTTATCTCATTGCATCGAATACACACAGAAAGCATTATATAAACCCACCAGGTGAACATGTACATTTTGACCATGCACACTAAAACGCTTCTGAGTATATTACTACCATTAATCTGAATGAATTTACAGCATATATTACTTACTACCTTGAGAGGTAGTGTAAATTATATGCAGATATGTATGGATCTCTCAGTTGAAGTGAACAACCAAACTTTCGGTATGTAAGAGGACTTCTGATCAGTAGTAATCGTTGAATCTCGTGATAACCATTCACAAATCCATGTAAAAACTGTGTGAAATATATTTACAAATAGAAAAGTTCCAATTGGACTTCACATCATAACACCTGCAATTCAATACTGGTCTCCGAGATAAGATGAAACACTGTTGCATTCCTTGCAGAACAAGTAAGTGTACACTGCAAAATAATATTCCATTGGTTGACATTCATTGCTATACTGGCGTGCAGTTGTAATGATGAATTGCAGACTCCACTTGACAAACACTTGAGTGATAGAGTGATTCAAATGCAAATTATTACGGCCTGAGTTATCCCGATAGTTGTATACTCTTGGAAGTTATCCAATTATTCATCACTGCCAATTTCAATTTATGCATCTAAAAATATACTCCGTTTTGACAGAAGCTCATTCTGGGGTTGGCTTAAGTAAGTACACCATTTTGTTTACAACCGATGCAACCAATATTTAGGTCTAAATTTCATTCTTTCGAATTAAAGTCTGCTTATTACTTCCTAATTTCAAATGAGATTGATTTATCTTGTCCATTAGATGATATTTTTGGTACATGTGATGAAGTAGATATTTCACCAGCCGAAACTCCACACAGCCTTCACATCTTCAGATGAACAAAAGCTCATTGATTATTGTCTATTCCAATGACTTCTTATGCAGTTGTAAAATAAATTAGCACCATGTGTTGAATTCCATTCGCTACTTCCAAGATGAACATCAAACACTCTTACCACAGCCTACCAATTTTCATGGTTGGATTACTGATAGAGGTGTGTTCAGAATTATAGATAACTTCCGATAGCATGTGTTTAAACCGTTCACTAGAACATGGAGAATGTAGAACTCCATTAGAACGACGATCCATGAAGTGAAATAACTTCAAACAGACATCATATGATGGTCCCATTGCAACATTTTGTAAAGTAAACCACATTGTTCGAGTAATCAGCACCTCATTATACAAATCTTGCACAGAATTCTCTGTAAATATTTTGAGGATACTGATCACATTTCTGGTGAAACCAACGTCAACTACCAAGATTGTTTCACGTTGATAATCATACTGAGATATATGAGTTTTTCATACTACACCTGATCACATTACCGTGCTCTGAAAATTTTCAATCACTTTTCTGTTCTAAACGTAGATGGATAGTAACTGTGATATGGTAAGTCATCATATTCCTTTCGAATTAGAAAACTTGAGCCATTTTCATCTTCATCTCCTACTAAGAACACCAACCGTAGATGCAAAATATCTGTTCACTACAAAGTCATTCATATACATCTGTACATGTCGTCAACATAATACCAGAGATGTGCATGAAACAGAAACCATCAGTTCGAAACAAGTTATATGCACCCATTTCTAGGATTAAGCAGCTTTTCTCTGTCAACTAACTTCACGAAAAACATATGAAACAGACTTTCTTTGTCTGTACTGATCTCTAAAACTGTCCCAAGTGAATTGAGGTTTGCAAGGTGAAGTCTAGAGTAGATTAGTAGGATATGAATGAATAAGAAACTGGAGTAGCCTGACTCTGGAACAGATCACAAATAGTAGTCCAAGGTTGTAGGTGACTAATTTCGTATACCTCCATTCTCTGTTTACACCAACCAACAGAAATTCATAAGAAGTAATATAACAGAGGAGCCATTCGTAAACATCCTTACTCGTAGAAGATGGAAACAGAAGTATTTCGCTGTTGAGTGTTAGTAGACATCAGCAGGAAATTCTGCGATTCAATCGCTTAGTGGTAAGATGTGAAATGTTTAACTGAGTGACACACGTTCGACCACCACTTTCTTATTGTTTGAAGATACACATCAGTGATGAATACTAGAAAGCAGGAGAGCCAAGAAATACAGAGAGTCTCATCTCTCAACTGCTGATGTCTAACATCAAAATACAGTGCACCAATACACCAACACACCACAAACTTTACTGAGTAAATCCTATTGAAGTTGGGTTCCAAGAGCAATGTAGTTACTTCAGTCACTCCCTACTAAAAGATTCACGGATTAAGATTTGAATGTAACTGTGAGTTTCATATTGAAAAATTGAAACTGCTTTTGACAACTCAGGATTTGAATTCTACAAATGAAGTGTGAGGTGTTTGAGCAGATGAAAACAGAATATCAGGAAACAGTATCCATGAATTCAAACAAACAATTTCTACAATTCATGATGAGAACTCTTTCAATAGAATTTTCATATATACAGAGGTAATAATTTCGGTTACCACAAACATGTTCCAGTAAAGACTTGTCTGTATACCTTCAACAATTTCAACTTTCAGCATGATAAATAGCATCATGTGAGTGATTGAATGTTTTCAAACTTCTTTGATGACATCTATTGAATACTTTTTGCATTGAAATCAACACTGACACATTTACATCTAGAAAAGTTAATTAGTGAATTTAATGGTGATTGTCACTTTGTTGCAATTCACTACTCCTCACCTATTCACACAACTTGAATAGAAATCTCAGTATGTCTGTCATATGATTTGCATTTGAATGTGAGATATTGCTGTAGATCTAGTCTGTGTACAGTCAGTGACTTGATGAAATGGCTGGTTGTTGAGGAAATTCGAGCAGTAATGAGACATAGTTGCAAAATGTTGAAGTGTGGACAGATTCCAGACCTCGATGGCATTTACCGTCATAAGATCATCTGCTAGCAGTAAAGTCGCCATCACACTTATTTCGGGGCTACTTATGAGAGACTGTATAATGAAGGTAGTTCAGTGGATGGAGTCTTGAACCTGCAACCTCGACGGGACTGATATCCCGCCTGAGATCCTAACACACACCACAAAGCCTTTAACACTCAGCTATCCGTGTTGCGACAGACCTCCTGTAGGACTGGCTTACATGTATATATGTAAGCCAGAAGTCTTGAACATTTCTTCACTCAGTGAAATGGTCAGGGTGTCACCACTTACCTCAGTACATTGTGCTATTGTTAGTACAATTGTTTGAAAGAGGGTTAATGGTAGCCAGAAGAAGAAGAGGTGGCACGAGTCACTGAAGTCGTTGAATTTCTGTCTGGCTCGTGTGATGAGGCGTGAACAGTTTGGACAAAGTAGTATGGAATATGGAAATCAGTGATTGAAGACACTTGGTAATAAAGTTGAAGACAGCTCCGATGTCACAAAATGTTCACACAGGTTTTCATCTTCAGTGTTTTCAATACATCAACAAACTTCACCGATCTATTCCTTCCCTTCTTCACTCGAACTCTTCCATCTCTATACCACTTTCTCCATCAATGTCTTCTTCGAATACTGCGGTGAATCGTCATATTTCAGTTAGTTGCTCTTTCCTACCAGTCCCATATCCATTTGTCTTCCAGCTGTACACTACTGGAGCATTTGTGTACCTTCAATTACAAGCAGAGACTATTTCAATTTCAGACGCAATCGAATATTGAGAAGTCTCAGCTATAGATCTCGACTTCCTCATCATTTTGATAAATGGAGTAGGTATGTGGACAAAATCACATAAAACCGGCTCAAGTTTTTATCATTGGCAAGTATGGAGTGCACTGGCCCTTCTGAATATTCGATTACTCTTTATTGCTTATTAACCGTTCTCCTTGTCATAATGACCGCGATTTGAATTATCCCTTAGACATTACAGCTTAGCGTATAGAATGTAGAATACACCCTGTTGTTAGGTGTTGTTTCCATTCAACTCCTATGGTGCATTCTAGATTCTAGATTCTAAATATACCACACCAACTGTACAGGAATGCAGTCCGATTGCAATAGAATTTAGAAAAGGAGGGATTTACATGTCAAACTGTCTTGCATAAGAGATAATTACCCTCCAAACCTGGTAGGAAATCGACAGTTAAATATCTTTCATGTTAATGCCAGACGAGGTAGTACGCTCTGTAATGTTGGAAATCTGGACATGATTGCAGAGAATTTTCCATATATTACCTTGTGTTCCTCTTTACCAAATACGACTTCACCTTCCTCTGTAATCACATCACATCAAAACTCTACTACTGGATCTATCCGCATTCCCACTCTGCTGCATGACAATTAGCTGTTTCCAATAGATTCAACAAAGTAACTAGAATTTGTTCCAACATCATCAGACTGTCTCAGTGACAACTAACTGATATGAACAGTATCTAGTCAACTTCTCCCTCCTCCTTGCCCTACAGAATGTGTGTTACTCGTCAGTGACTGATTCGCTTCTGAGTTATATATCACCGGCAAGTGTCACATGTTCACCGACAGCAATTACCCACAACCAGTGAAAAACGCTGAGAATTTATAACATTACAAGATTTCAGAAATAACCGTCTAGTCAACTAGTGACAGAATGTCTTTCGTCATGTCCAACATAAATGATGCACACTCCACCATGTCTAATTCACTCCTCTCTGAGGATAATGTTGAGCAACACTCAACAATAGAATGAATCGTCAAGTTGTTTTCACAAAACAAAATGGCGAAATGACTTACAATAACAAACTTCAACACTGGTAACATTTATATGGGTAATTCATTTGCTTCAGATTCCTAATTATCATTTCGTATATGTACTGATCATCATATCACGGTTACAACTTGATACACGTTTTCTTATCTCCTTTCTTTTGATATTTTGCTCATACAGCACCACTTACTTCTGATAGTGATGATCAACAACACCGAAATGAAATTGTTTCTGAAGATCTCATCTTTCTGTTTATCGATGAAAATGTACTAACTGTAAACTGTTGACTATGTTTCTGACTTCTCTTATCCTATTCACATGTCATGAATCATCTCATACTTCATTTGTGTATCTATGCTTCAACAGAATGTGATAATATGTATACTGTTTGATATTGAATTTGTTCGCATTTCAGTCTAATCATAATTTGAAGTGGGTTTGTCATAGCAAGTGAGTAATTTTTAAATTACCACTTGCATGCAGGTAGGATGTAATTTAGTAGGATGGCATAAACGCTGAAGCAGCTTATATGACCTTGAAGTGTTCAGAGTAATTTGATGAAGTGGCTTCTGCACATAAAGTGAAATATAGTTCATATTTCCTTGTGATATACAAACTTATTATCATGTATAAAACATGTATTCAATCAAAGTATGAAACTTGAAAGTGAAGGCATATGGAAAGTTATCTAATTCACAGACAGTTTGTGAAGTTTCAGATATTTTAAGCAACTTCTAATAAAAGGTCACGACTATACCTTTTTCCGTCACATCTATCCTCATTGAATACTCGGTGTACACTTGTAGACGTTTCACTATTTGCTCATCAATACTTAATCGTCTAACCTGCTAGGATGCCAATACGGTAGAGGAATGAATAGTCTGAGATATAAATTTCACCTGAATCAGCCCACAAATAATACTGCACGAAATGGTAGTTGAACTGACCAAGTTAATGTTTCCAGTTATAGTTTACAAATGCGTGTGGTATGCCATCGTTGAAAAGAATCAATCCTGAGTCTCGCTGGACGACTGTCTGCTCACTGTTGCTAAACAAATCGGAGCAATGTCAGTTGGTTGGAGGCTAGTGACTGGAAACTCTGTCCCACCTGGGTTTCATGTTTCTTCGCATTCATCAGCAGGGCGTATCTACAACCTCGAGGGAACTGACGTTCTCTTCAGAGATTCTAACACACATTAACCAGGTGTGTGGTCATCAACCTTACTAATGACTGATTCAAGCCACGACTGACCTCCTGTATGACTGGCTTAGGCACAATAATCGACCAGTGAAGAGCAACCACTTTCATTTTGTCTAGTTTTGAGTGCTAACCAAATGCTGTCAATCGTTTCGTTGCAGGGGGTTCACAGTACTTTGTTATCCTTCATTATGGTGAACTCATGTTAGTAATGGTATCCAGTATTATGAACTTGCGTTCATAACGAATGATAAGAAAACCGCTGTAAATCAAATCAAAATGTAAGAAAACCAAAAGTGACGTGAACAGACTGTACAGTAAAGAACAACATTTACTTCCATGAAATCAAAATGTCCCTCCTTCCCTATTGTGGTTCTCATCTGGCCTTTAACGGAGATGAAGTAAAAACGTCTAACGTTGACTAGTTAGTACAATATCAGATATCCATTCTGTGTATTGGCTTGTCTTTTTCCTCGGTCAACGCCATCGAAAGCCTTTTCAAAGTCGACGAAGTTGAGGTAGAGTTGAGTTGACTGCCACTCTGTGCTCTGTCCTATGATGATGCGTAGCGTTGCGTTGCAATCTCATAACTTTCACTATCTCTTTCAACAATTCAAATTTATTAGCAGTAGTATGATTTGCACTAAGTTTATCTTCGTCAGAAATATTCGATCTGCGTCTAACTGCATATGTGCCCCATCTTATGCCATGTCACGAACATACTGTCACATGATAAAACCCACACCACACCATAAGGCAATCAAAGACAGTGAACTTGAGTTTGAGTAGACCCCGGTAATAAGTGTTGTTCAAAATGCTGAACAAACCAGTCGCGATTACTTCTCGGATCTCCCTATTCAAAAATCCTTCATACAAGTTTCTAAATCCAATAAGTTTATTCTTCAGGTGAGTAAAATAGGCGAGAAAATCTTCTTACCAATCAGGCTGGCTAACTAACCATCTGATGTTATTTGCCATCCAACCAATACAGGAAGTCTATTGTCGTCTGCTGCAGTCAATAAATACACAATAATCCAGTATGCTATGATTTCTCAAAACATCCAACAAGTACGTTTATTGTACCAGCTATCAATTAAATTCGTTAGGACTGCCATTTAGGCAGTCATTAGCTTTCGTTCCGTTGAGGACAAGGACGCTTATATCGAAGAAGATACATTTGCATGTTGAGTTCGCCGGATACTTCAGTACAGATATAGAGGTTTAATGATCAGTTTTCTTACCCAGACTAACCAAAACATGTTTGCAAGCTCATTTTGAAGCCCGATTCAATATATCAAGCTGCACAGGAACTTCAGCTTGCCTCTCGACATTCAACTATAAGAATCTCAGCAGTAATGAGGTATGCGTTGACAGATCTTGATGATAATCTCCTCTCACATTTTATCTTTCAAACTGCTTCCACTTGAATTCTAAATGCATAGACTGTTTTTTCACAGTATCTTATGTGTGCTACTTACATTGGTTGATTACTGTGAAATAACGATACTTCATACACAGCTTATATCAATTATCCACCCTTCTTCTCCAATAACAAAACTCACCTGTCTGAACATTATACTTCGTGTAATCCCATGACAGAATGGATAAAATAATATGTTATTTTCATTTGAAGTCAAAGTTGCACTACTAGTAGATGTGTACATGTGGATGAATATGAGAAAGTGACCTCCGAAAGTGACTATGCCTTTAGTGTTCTTGAATGAGAGTAGTGTTGAGATATTCAGAGTGGTACAGTGTAAACAGAAATCCATGAGAAGCATTTCAGTCATATATTTGAGTGTTATTATATCAAATAGATAGATATTATATAGATGTGCAATAAATGTTCCCTTGATAAAGATGTCGGTACACTTCATACACAGATGAAGAGTTTCTTTGCCTCTTCACAAAGATGTCTGATGACTGTCAACACAGGTTAGCAAACTGAACTCATCATACTCTTTGTCAACATATTTCCGTGAAATTCGAAACGGAAATGACCAAGTGATTCTACAAACAATAAACCGAACACTCAACTTACGAGCAGAATCCAAACTAGGATTTTTCCGTAAACGAACAGCACTCTGGAAACAACAATGGATGGTGAATTAGAAACCTCACATCATGGAGTGTTTTTATCTTACCTTCGTAAAAGTCATCTGGATGACAGTGCATCAATGAGATGTGACTGAAGGTGATGCCCATGTATTGGAGAATTCAGTCTGAAAATATGCATTTTATGTGTTCCACATGCAAATATTCTGAAGAAAGAATTGCAATCACATATCCTTTTCCGACGTAACTTAAATCCTCATCTGACTTACTGAGATTTGTGAGAAACATTCATCTTGAATAGGTGTACTTACTTTCGACCTAGGAAGTGGAAGTGCAGCCAACACTGCACATGAATAAACGGTTTGAAACTCGATTCTTTGACAGACGGCATTTTAAAAACTATGGAGATACGTAAAATATCCATAGAGAACACAGATAATCTTGGTATGTTCACCAAGAACCCTTCAACCTATGACGAGCATGATAACAGCCGAGGGTGACTTTTAGCCTTATCCCGTCAACGCAAACCAGGGGAAATATGAGAATTGCGCGGATTCTCAGGGTAGGCTAAACACATCATATAGGCAAATATACAGTGAGAGGCATAACACCAAGGTAATTACCATGGCGAGCACAACATAATCATAGACTGGGAATCATACAAGTATAGTAAGATTTTAAATGACAAATGAAATATTATTTTCGAAATGAACAATCAACGTCCTAGATAATGTGACGTTTCCTAATAACACGTTCACACTACTTGTTATTAGTGAGTAGTGCAAAGCTAGCTATATGCAAAGAAGGTTGGGAATGTGAATTTGAGATAGAAATTTAGTTCTCGTTAAAACAGAATTAACACGCACATTCCATCACAAATTCCATGTTGTGGTACGTTTCACTGAAGTTGTCGAACAACTTAAGTGCACTTCCATCATCTCATCCAGATCAAATGTTCCCCTTGAAGAAGTATCAATACACCACAAATTACAAATTATCGATAAACACTAACAGTGACTGTTTTAATGTTGGCGAATCGGTTAATGAGTGTGAAAGAATGAGTAATAATTCTGTGGACGAATTGTTCAAGATGAAATCTTTGTGAAGACTGCTCCTGAATACTAGTCGTATTGATTCGATATCATTTTAGATAGACTTTCTAAGTAAAACACAATTAAGAGTACTTCGGAGAAGAGTTATTCAACATCGTCTTTCCTTAGTTAAAGTAGGATTGAAGTCAAATATACAGCATACTCGCTATGAATCCAGATGATATCTACATACGTGTCAGTACCAGACAACCTGTTTGCTTCATCTTCATGATGAAAAACCAGCGGATTTAGGGGAAACGGAATGGAAGTAAATAATTATTCAGTCGGTATGCAACGAAAATCACCTCTATACCTAGTATGTGAAATTTATTTTGATGAAGTGGAACCAAGATTATTGGTAAATAATGATGCTTTGCAATGTACAGCTTGTCAGCTGAAGTACACAAGTTTCATTCGGAGTGTTAACCATGGAAGGAAAGTGGTAATTATCCATGAAATCTTATTTCGAGAAAGCCACGTTCACTTCCATGTACAACATTCAAAAATTACTGTAGCATCATACATCTACTGAATACAGATTATGTCTGACTTTTGGTTGATCGCTTAGTGCAATGCCAAGACTGCACTCTTCATTTGTATACATGAAAACGATGACCTCACAATGGTACATGAATACAATGATGATTTCAACTTTCTTAAGACTGTACTCTGCACTGACCACGACGTGTCTTACAGTAAAGCTAGTTACACCTGATTTGTACTTCCTGTTTGTCACTATAATCAATAATCGATGGATAGCTTTTGTATGATACTTAAAATTGTTTGTAGTAATTCACAGTATCTGTTGTAACAATTATTCCGAGAATACAGAAATAAGTCCTTCCTTCCCTTCCATGTTTTGAGTATATCCTGAATAGCCTACGATTAAGAGGAACAAACATCTTCAACAGCGCAATTATAAAACACATATTGGAATTAGGACATCAGGCAAACGCATTGGAATCATTCAAAACAATCAACAAACAGAACAATTCACATCTTCTTCACTTCATTGAAGCAGTTGTAAACAAAC